AAAATTATGTCATCGTACTTGCGACTGGACAGAGGTACCGAAACTGGTGTTATAAGCACTATTCATGCTTTTCTTCATAAAAATCATGATATGGACGTAGAGCCAACAGAGACCGTAATTTATGGACCCTCTACAGCTAATCAAGTATAAATATTAATTTATTCTCTTTGACTTTGTTATATTTTTAATTTGTATAATATGGAAATCAGGAAGGCTATATATATGTTTTGTCACAAAAGCACACTTCTGTACCACGGCAAAGTATCCTTAAAATGCAGGAAATACTGTTTCCGAGACTCAAAATCTTTGTTGGATAGGTGTACCCCCAAGAATGATCAATGGGCTATTACATTTAATACCAAACCTCCCTGTCGAAGACCTCATTTTCCAAGGGGGTTAATTAGTCAATTTGTCCAGACTGGTAATTGGAAAAAATGGGAGAAAAATATGCTGTTTCCAGAGGGGCAAAAATGCATGTCCAGAGGGGTTCTGGTCTCTTCCAGAGGGGGCAGTTACACTGATTGTTTTGCATTCCAGCGGGGTAAAAATCCTCAAAAGCAGAGGTCCTTGACAAGGTGGTTGGTTTTTAAATGTTATAGCCCAATGGAGCTAAATTTAGCTGCGATTAAGAATCTACAATCAGTGATATTGAAAAATGGGACACTTGTATCAAAAGCATATGATTTTTTTAAATTTGTAAACTGGTGCATAAATGATTCTTGGGAGTTATGTCTGAGAAGACAATATAATTTGATAGAGAAAGTAAGGTTTAGTACTACAGCATTGGGGGGGGGAGGGGGTTGTGGTTTTTGACTAACAGGTCTAATAATTTTGTCACTGATTGCTGCCCCCTAATTCATGTCAACCTTAGCCCCCTTGTTGGGGAATTCCTGCTGCCACTCTTGATTTAATATTATCATACACAAAAAGCTGTTCATCACCTGATTTGAAAACACAGAGAATTGTTTTGATGCATTGCATCACTAGATGATATATTTATAGCACTAAACACAAAAACAATGTGTGGTTTTAGATTGAGAGATGGTGGAGAGAGCTTCACGAAAGGTTGGAAAAATTCTACAAGGAACAATTGCAGTGGTTAAAGGATCAGAACCATTATGACACCAACAATGAAATTGACAGGTGTGTAGATGTCACTTTCTGCAGAGGTGCAACTTAACACTTGCCCAGGGCAAGTTTATATCATGATGGGCAAGTAAGCTAGGATATTTTATTGTTGTGTATTTCAATGCATTTTATTTTTCAGGATGCTGCTTGTATTCTTCATGATCCCTATCTTGCAGAAAGAGTTGGATGTCTTCAAAGACATTTGGAATAGCCACAGGATTAGGAAGCAAAAGGATACAATACTTCCCCATGGCATTCCAAACCATATACACAATTTTCCAGAGGAATATGGCCTGGAGGAAAGTGGTAATTATTAGAAAGGAGATATTAGAAAATTTTGCAATATTAGTTGCAGTAAACAAAATAGCCATTTTTCTAATCCAGCCAAATTAATTATATACCACATGTATTTTAAAATGATCAGAGCAATAACCATAACACAAGAGTGCTTCCAATTTGACATTAGCCATGTTATTTTCAGCAGGTTGGCCTGTATCAGAGGAGCAATTACAAGAGGTAGCTGCCCATGCTGGCATGCTTGACATTGAGGGTGATTTCATATTGCCAGATTTCAGAGCTGAGTGTGAAAGATTGATGACACAAATAGAGGAAATAGAGCCTGGAGACTGTGCAGATGCATTCCGTTATCATTTTGTTTCGAAAAAAGTAATAGGTGGACATTCTGGAAATGGAAGTTGCATAAACATAAGAAAAACGAATCAGACAAAGAAAACGAATTAGACATACACAAATTAGAGTTCACTGACACAAACCAAGAGAGCAAATAATCAACTTCCGTGTTGCAACAGTTCAACCAACATAATGCGATCCGATTACCTCAAGCCCCCACGGTGCAGTTAAAATGTGCATTGTTAGTCTTGTTGTAAAAGTTGAAACTTTGGAAGGCAGAAGTAAATCAGCGGCGTAGCCAAGATGGGGGCTCAGGGGGCTCTGCAATGGGCATAAGGACTGCTCTTGTGGAAAGCTAAAATCCGGGCAGAAATTGACGTGGGGGTACGATGTGTGAATAATGATACCCATCTCTTCTGTTTGCCAATAAAAGTTGAAGTCTTCCCTACCTAGAATCCTAACTCCAGTAAAAAATGCCTATGGTTGCTTTAAAGCACATTTGAACTTGAACTTGTGCTCAAAGCAACACTCATGACCGACTTCTACAAAAAAGAAGACATGGTGCTATTTTGCTGTTGTATTTGCATATACAATACTATGTTTTACATAAACATTTTTTCGATCTAACAAAAGTTCTGAAAAACTGTACGATTATTTAAACTCTATACATAAATATTTTTTCGATCTAACAACATTAGGCGACTTAAAAATGCCCTTTTTGTGGTTGTAACTTTTCTTCAAAGCTTGTCCTAAAATATGTGAAATAGCGTTATAATGAATCTAGAAATTCAAAATTTTCCTTGCGCCTATGGCACTCGCACTCAAAATCCATAAAAATTTTGCCCTCCCCCCCTCCGAAAGTTTAGACCACTGCAAAGGTTCTGAAAAACTGAATGTTTATTTAAACTCTTGGAATACTATCCCCGTCTTACCGTCTATGCGCTTTAAATAGTTGGCTTTTCTTACCAAACACAAATACTACAAAAGTCTGCCCCAGAACATAGGACACCCCCAAATTTTTTTCGAATGTGCGCCCCTGCCATGGAATTATTTTGGTCCCTGGTTTTACTCTCAATTGTCTCACAATTGTTTACTGAATCAAACAAGTGTTTTTTGACTCACTCAGCCTTAGCAGAAATGTCATTCAGTGACATAGGATTTGACTTGTCTGGTGAAGTTAATTTCCACAGATATTCATAAGGGTTCAGGTTTTCTAAAACATCCTGTGGCTCAGTTGCATCAGCAGAATTATTAGTACCTTCTGGAAGATCATGTGGTAATATTAAACGTAAACCCATCATCTTGCCAGTTTTTCTTCAACCTCTTTCACTTTGTTATAAAAAACTTTCAGGTCACAACTTGCAGTACTTCTTTGGTGGGGTGCTCGAACATCGCCATATTCCTTTGCAAAATGTTTGGTTACCTTCCCATACTCATGTTTCTGAAAGTTCAGACTGGATTGGTTGTGGTACTACAATCAGTTTCAAAAGTCTTGGGACACATGCCACAAAACCTTTGAATTTCAACAAATGTCAATCCCCCCGCCCTCTGTTCAATGTTGTGTCCCATTTCTCATCAGGTTTGATGTGTTTTGGTTGGAGCAACATTGATTGGGGTGGGGGGAGGGGAGCGGTATTGTGTGTAAAAAACTGTAGTGATCCACTTACAATCTAAAACTACATGTGTCCCAACAACTTCTGAAAGTGATTGTCTGGGCCCCATATGCCATAACACCATTGTATATCTCAAACGTACAGGGGATAGAATGCTCTGCGAACGAAGTATTTCTGCTCCATTTCGTTCACAAAAGATCTAAAATAACATTTTACAACAATTAAGTTCCATCAAAATTCTCAAAGTTAATAATTAACAGGATATGAATATAACTTGTTATGTCATATAGCATTTTTAATCGTTGTTTGTTTTTACAAATTTCGGCAGGGCACAAGTGGGTTATTTGAGAGGTTATATATAGTCCGTCAATATAAAGATAGGTATCACGAATGTTTTATGCTAGAGATGTCACACTTACTGTTAATTTATAGCATAGTAATATAACATCCGGTTACTTTCGCATGCGGGTAATGGCTGAGTCAACTGCCAATTCGGGTACTCGAAAGGTAAAGGACGTTTTCTTTACATCTTTCTAGAGCAGAATTGCAGATATAATTGTCGACGCATGGGTAGGAAGGAGCACTAAGTAGGCGGGAATGTCGGAGGCTCATGGAAAGGGGGGTAGTCACTTCCACACTGCAAAAAAATTGTCCACAAGATCGAGGTGGCGAGCTATCGGAAAGCTTGAGAAGAGTAAATGTGGCATTTAATTGAACTCAGTTCCGCAGACAATCTCAAAAATTACTATTCAGCATATTCGTACGTGGTAAAGGAAGACCCGGACTAGGTGATTTCTCCAGGGCTTATAGACCTCCCCAATGCTGACGTGTTAGCGAGTACTAGCGCGACCCGCCGAAGCAAGAAAGTTGCACAGGTTTCCAAAAATATGTAACAAAAGGGACTCGCAGTATACGGCATTGTACACATTATACAACACTGGCGTTAGTGTTATATGCTAATTATGCTAATAAGTGTTTCCGGACGAGACGAATGCAATGAAACTAACATCGGTTGACACTTCGATTGTCACTTGAGAAATATGAAATAACAGGCAACTAGACATCTTTTAAAACAGAACAAGGCCAAGAATAATCTGTTGAGAATGTCTAACAATGTATTTGCTATTAGTGAAAGGGTTTGAAATTGATTAAACCAAGTTTTGGATCGATTGACACTTTTTTACATAAATAAATCTGATATATCATAGTGATATTTCTAGAGTTGAGTGTCAATCGATACATTTTATGCAATTTATATATTTTGTGTTTAAGTACAACCCGTAACATATAAATAAGCACTCCCTAAACACGTTTGCTTAGTACTTAATGTTCTGAAAATGATTATGCTGCGACGTCCCATTTCTTGTCAGGTTTGATGTGTTTTGGTTGGAGCAACATTGATTGGGGTGGGGGGAGGGGAGTGGTATTGTGTGTAAAAAACTGTAGTGATCCACTTACAATCTAAAACTACATGTGTCCCAACAACTTCTGAAAGTGATTGTAGCTTGCATTTTCCTGCAGGAACATTCCATGTCAATGTGCAAGGCTTTGATGTGCAAGGTATGTTTTCTGGTGTTTTGCTAATTGCCTTATCAGCTGCCATACCACTACCCATACTGGTTTTGTCTTCTAATGAGAACAAAGTTGCAGCAAGGTGATTACAGCGACCATGAACCCCAGGTGGACAGCAACAAAATTGGAAATATCGCCATTTGAACAAAGAATAATCTTTACTGTGTAGACTTTTCCCTTTTGCATTGATGGATGTACTTTGCTTAAAACATAATGTTTGTTGTGTTCTTTGTTTGAGAAAATCTGTAGGACATTGCCAGATTTGTAAAAATTATATCCCTTAACAATAGGATTTTCTGTGGACAACTGCTTTTTTATTTCGACATCTTCTATCAAGTACTTCCAAATGTTGCAGTAAGATATCCTTGGGAGATTGGTTGTTCCACACTCAAACCCAGTGGAAGGGAAATTTTCATTCACTTCAGGGTGTAATTCTTCAGCAAAGCCAAACTCTAGTCTTTTCTTTGCCAAATTTACACCACTATCTGGATCCACTAACTTTTTGTCCAGTCCATTTTTAATGTAATCATTGACCCTGTTTTTGAAAAAAACCCAGGATTTATATAAAGCTTATGAAAAGTTGAAGTACAAACTGCTTCAGAGAATTTAAGTCACCTGTCAGCAATGTGGCTATTAAAGAATGAAAAATTCATATCGTTTCAAATTAGTTTCTTATAAAAAGCAATTCTTGTACAATTTTACATTTATTTGAAAGCAAAAAACCTCCTATTTTGTCCGTGCAAATAAATAAAACTTGTCACATCGGTCAAAGAAAACTTGAAACTACAATTGAATTGAGTATATTATATAAAATGTTTAAAATTGAACAAATCTTTTCACTCTCCCTTCCATGTGACTTTCGCGCCATGGCACGACAACCACCGCTTCAAAACCGCAACTGTACATTGTTCCTCCATTTTTTGTCACCAGGTATGTCCCCTTCTTCAAGTACTAAATTGTCCGAATTTGACCCCAATAAATCCATATTTTTTTACTATAAACAACTAATTAAAATATGTAATATATATCATAATTCAGCTCCATAATTCCACACGAATTCGGTGCCAGGCTTCTTTTCAACTTTGCAAAGGGGAATTTACTCAAACGCTGAATAAATATAATTTGATTGGTTAAACCAGATGAACAAGCTGGATTGACTAACCTGGATTAAGCCCCCCTAACCATTACCAAGGGGGACACCTGGACACAACCTGTACCCTAAACTGCCTTATACATACAAGGGATATGAAAATCACAGAAGGCTTTGAAAAATCATGCCAAAATCTTGGCAATATATAATGTAACAAGAAAGATTGTAAACAATTCTTGTAAACCACGTATTGGTTCTTATAATTTTAACCCGGGCCAGGTGTTCGTCTATGAAGTCTGAAATATAAAGGACAGCATGCATGCAGGCAAATTCTCAACACATGATCAATTAAAAAGTAGCACTTGAAAAGAATTATTATCATGAATAATATGAGAATATTGTGGGTAGAGTAAAGCCAGGTTTCACTCAGGAATTGAGGAAAATGTTCCTTATTAAGGTTTTAACATCTTATAACAGACCCATTATGTAGCAGGCAAAGTGGTATTCAGACACGCTATTCCCCCACCCCCAAGGGATATATTATTTTGCAAGTCCCCACCCCCATGCCTGCTTGTCTGCATAGTCATCTGAAAGTTTGTTCAAAACAATAGAAAACAATCACTTGTGTTTCTGTCCTTATGTCCACATGTTTATGTCCACATAAATTGTCTTGCCTTTTCTCACGATGGAGAAACAACTTGTTTGTAAAGTTCCCATGGTGTAGGGAAATGACAGTGCAAAGCCCCCAGATTTTCCCCATAGCTTGGGTAAAAATTACATTCAAAGTCCCTAAGTCCCCAGCATTGGGAAATCCGACGACACACACATAGTTAGACATCAAAATTTTAAAAACCGCAATTACCCGGAGTTGTAATCCAGGAGGGCGATGGGCCCTGCTGGAATTGACTGATGTATTTATACAAGGTATATGTATATTATACATCAGTATAGATTTATACAAATTTATACCAATGTATAATATAAAGCAAAAGCAGAAGCGAAATATAAAGACAATTTTTTCTCGATTTTTTCACCAGGCATTGTACTGTCTATGCCTTCGCAGGCAGCGTATTTTATAAACAAACAGCAGGCCAGTGACCGACAGTTGAAAATTTTGTGCACCATTTTCACAAAGGTTTTTACTATACAGGGTGTATAAAAAAAAGTAAGACAATTTTGAAATTGCTCTCAATTCCACAATTCTGTTCATGAAATGTAATTTTTGCTATACATGGATTGCTTGAGTTCTTAAATTGTGGAAAATATAAAAAAATTTGAAAATAGTAAATTTTGCTATCCAGGGAGGTGGTCAACTTTTGCTCCCCGAAAAGTGGCTTGCGCATGGAAATGACAGACGGTATTCTTTATTTGAGTTCATGTATGAAAAGTTCGCTATTTGTTGCATTTATGATAAAATTTCGGCAGGATTTTACCAAGTACAAATCCACCGAAAAGCCTATGAAAACGTTACATTTTTCTCCGTTGGTGCTGTTCTTGGTTCATTATGAATTCATTTTTATTCCCATTAGAGTTCCTTGGAATTTCCATGGAATTTGTGCTTTCGAGTTGTTTGTGCTGAAATGCATTTTCTCATATAATACCCCGTACACTTTGAAATGGCGATGCCACAATTTACCCCGCAGCAGAGAGCTTTTATGGTATCAGAGTTCCTCCGTAGCAACAACATAAACTTGGTTCGCCAAAGTTTCAAGAATATTCAGATGTACGATGCCCTTCACGTGCGAATGCGTGAAGGGCATCGTACACAAGTCTGGATATTCGTTCGTGAAACTTTGTCGAACCAAGTTTATGTTGTTGCTACGGAGGAACTCTGATACCATGCATAAAAGCTCTCTGCTGCGGGGTAAACTGTGGCATCGCCATTTCACACTGTATGTGGTATTATACGAGAGAATGCGTTTCAGCACAAACAACTCGAAAGCACAAATTCCATGGAAATTCCACGGAACTCTCATGGGAGTAAAAATGAATTCATAATGAAGCAAGAAAAGCACCAACAGAGAAAAATGTAACGTTTTCATAGGCTTTTCGGAGGATTTGACCTCGGTAAAATCCTGCCGAAATTTTATCATAAATGCAACAAATAGCGAACTTTTCATACATGAACTCAAATAAAGAATACTGTTTGTCATTTCCGTGTGCGCAAGCCACTTTTAGGAGAGCAAAAGTTGACCACCCCCCTGGATAGCAAAATTTACTATTTTCAATTTTTTTTATATTTTCCATAATTTAAGAACTCAAGGAATCCATACATATAAAAAAATACATTTCATGAACAGAATTGTGGAATTGAGAGCAATTTCAAAATTGTCTTACTTTTTTTGATACACCCTGTATAAATTTACCTACTTTTCTACATATGAAATAAAAGTCACTTACCAGGTGTTTTGACGATGCCATCGACGTTCATGAACAGTAGAAACAGTTTTTTCCTTCGGAAAAGTGAAAGGTGAAGGCGCAAACGTAGCTAGCGAAGACAGCAAAGAGGAAAGGATAAAAAAGCATACCAAATCCACAATATATATACCAGCATTCAACACGAGTTTCAAAGGGATTTTTCTTTCCTAGGAATTTCATGGCTTGTGCTAAAACTTGGATGATGGATGGACGATTTTTATTTATTTACAGTCAAAACACTAAAACCAGCACACTTCCGCTTTTGTACTTTGACTTTGTTGTAATTTATTGTATATTTTTCGTTGTGTATTAATAACAACCACAGGGAGCCCAAGCGTTGATCTGTGTTAGTGTTGTATGTTTTTCAGTTTATTTATTTTAGCAGGGCGTTAGCCAGAAGTAAAAAAATCTGTGTTTACTTGAAATTGGGAAATTTATTTTTGCCTGAAGCCGGGCATTTCTTTGTGGGTCTGGGGCCCCTCTCAATTTTTAAAATTTTTGTGTCTTTGAAATGGCATTTCCCACATTTTGGGAGTAATTTTGAGCAAATGTAGTTATAAACATGTTTTTAACTATTTTTGGCTGACCCAAATTGGGAAATTGTGACCTCAAGGTAATTGGGAAAACCGCGTTTAACGCGGAACCCTGTTTCGTGTCTTTATATTGCCTTTTAATTGAATTATAACACTAAATTATACTAATATGTCATATCATAATAATACTCCTATAGTCGAACATATAATAATGTTTATAAGTTGATTTGTATTTGTATGCTTTTCAGTTTATTAATTTAAGATCTATTATTAGCTTATATAAAAGCACCGCCTTTCGAACCTGACAGCCCGTTCGCAGGATACACACGTTATTTTGCACTGAAATAAGAAATGGGTCGGCACTAGATCATAGATAAGATACGTACAAATCTGAAACTGAATTCATATGAGTCAGCGGTATTCCATCTTTATAATTCAAATAAATTAGTGTGCGAAACCAAAGCAATATGGCTTCCATCGAAGAGTATAGCGATAGTGACCGGGTGCATGTTTCCGCTTCACAAGCAGAAATGCTTGAGAAATTTGAAGAGTACAAAATAAAAACAAGTAGTGGTTGGAGATGTATCAAATCAACTGCACTTTTTGGTAAGTGAACTAATTCCAATATGTAAATTTGTCTTATAAATATTCATACGAATACCGTGTGTGCGATATCTATGAAAGATCCAAATTATGCATACATAAAACCTTTATCGATTTACTGCTGTACTACACTCATAATAATATAGTATGTCTTTATAAAGGTCGAAAGATGCATGTGCTTTAGAATTATATAGTAAATCTTACTGGATAAAAACCTTTCATAAGGGACCACTCATTAATAATGGGGGGGGGATACCAAATATTGAACTTTTTAGAGCTGCCTCAGTCACAAGACCTTTATTTTCAAGATGCCGCCACCTTCAGTAGAAATTTAGGACCCCCCTCCAACATTTAATTTGTTACTTAGTTGGTGTAAAATAGGTAATGGGACAAGTACTGGTGTAAGCCATTGTGTAGCCTAAATAATAAGAGGACCAGTATTTAAAATGGTTGTTATTTACTCCTATCGTTATTGACTCCTATTGCGAACTGCATATACGTATTAATAAACTATGGAAACTACGATCATAAGAACTAAAATGGTGAAATATTTTGCAATACGATAAAGGCAAGAGATTGAAAATGAGTAGGAAAGTATTAAAAATTTGGGGTCACCCCTTGTCACATATTTTGAGGCCACCCCCAATTCAGGCAAAAATAGTTGAAGCTGCCCCCCCTTTCGCCACCGACCGCCTCCCTCAGTGGCGTAACGCTCACTAGATAGGGTTAGTTAAAAAACTAAGGGCCCCCGTTAAAAAACCCGTTATACTGTGCGACTGCTCATTGTATGGTAGTTTTCTTCTTGTAGAGGCTTTCTTAGGTTTTTTCCGACTGTGGAGGCAATCACTGCTGGACGATCTACTACTGACACTTGAGGATGAACTCAGCTCGGAGTTTCTTGAAGATCTGTCGTGGTAAACTGACTTGCCTTTACGTTTACGCTTTTTCTTCCCTTTATTAGCTCGGGAATGTTTTTGCCTCGTATTTTGTTCATTATTCATGATTTTTGTTTCGATGAAATCTGTGTTCATATTTTGTTTTTGTGTCAAGACTTTACCATTGTTTTTGACAGGCGACAAGTTCATGTTCACATTGAATTTTGCTGTGTGTCCGCTTGATTGACTTTGTTGTCTTCGTTCGTGTGCTACGATGCGAGTACTCCTACATCGCCAACTCCCTTTTGTAACATATGTTTACACTTGGCAATTGTAATTGTAAGCTGTTCGGGATCATTTGTAGTTTCTTCGGGAATTTTACCACCAAAAAACGTATGCAATATTCTAATATCACGAAGAAGTTTTGGTCGGTTCGTTTTATATTCAGGATTAACTTTCATCATTCTTGGGGTAAAAGCTTTTATAAAATTGCTCACTCTGGCTTTGGAAATTCTTAATGCCTTCCAATTCTTCTTCAAGTTGTTTAATAACGTCGCTCTTTTTTTATGACACACTTCATTTGATGCATTTTAGAGGTATATTCCGGATGTTTATCCTTAATGCCACAGTACGTAAATGACGAGCATCTTTCCATGATACATGGTTTAGTTTGTTGATTTCTGTGTCCTCGGTGATGACAATTACCACAGACGACTTTATACCTTCCAATCTCAGGTAATTCCGGTACGTTTATGTTCATTGATTCCAAACGGACTTGCATCACCTGCAACTCTTGTCGATTTGCACGAATTTGCTCTTCGACATTTCTTTGACGATTTTGCAATGGCCGCTTTGCTGTCGTTGGATATTCCATAGTCTTACTCTAGGTAACAGCAAATGCGGTGTTAGTATAATATCAAACTGAAATGTTTTACATTATATAATTTTATTGCAGCATAAACCATATAACCATATTTATATTTGTACATACTGCAGTGGAATTCTGCTTCAAGGTTTCAGTAGCAACGCCATGGGTAGTCTCATTGTCACTACATGTTTCGTCTGGTGAGGTTACGTTTTTATTGCAGCAATATTCAGAAGCCTTTCGATTCAACTGAGATTTATTTTTTTATCAAGTCAAGATGGTAGTCCAATATTTTCCTTGCCCCAAGTGGCAACTCCGATCCTTTAAGTATTTCTTCAAGATTTTTGCTATCTAACAATTTTAATGCTAATGTAGACGTAAAATCATTTTCTTGAAGAATCGTGGCTTTTGATAACTTTGGGATCCTATTTTATCCCTAAAACTTAGAAGGAACTTGTCTAATTCGTCGCCCATATATCTGCTTATGCAACTCGGCACTTTGGTATTTCAATTCAGTATTTAGTTGAGTACTTTAGTTCAGTACTTCCGTACTTTAGTCGGGTACTTCAGAACTTAATTCACCAACATGCAAATTTTGCTTTGCAAGTTCTCACACAATATTCCAAATTTGGTAATGTAATTAGGAAGTTTAGGAATATTCAAAACAAACTTGGGAATTGCGCTTTGAAAAGTGACTTGAAATCGACTGTAATAATATTAACATGTTAAAATCAGTTGACTAGGATGTCAAAGGTTAAGTCGATGCATTCCTTGGAGGCAACAAACCCAATAATTATTAACCCAACAATTTCTAACAATTATTGTATTAATTGACAACAATTATTTTATTAAAATATTGATTATTTTAACAATTATTTTTTAAATAATTATTTTATTGAAATATTGATTCCCTTCATTGCTGAAATCTAATATTGATCATGTGGCAGTCCCACCGCTATGCTTTGTTGCAGGCAAAGAAGCATCCACCTAGCCTTTGATACCCTAGTCTGTTTTTAATGTTGTTTATATTAACTCATTAACTGGCAATGTGAATGTGCCCTACTTAGTATTTACTCTATCTAACGCCAGACGATTAATTACTTGTCAGTGGTAGAGTACTGCCAGTAAATGGGTTAAAGTGAATGTTAAATATGAATTAAGTTGAAATCGGTTGTATAATAACCAACTGATTAATTAACCCATTTTTTATTTCTTATTTTTATTTTATTTATTTATTAGTTTCGCCATATTACAATACACAAAACTATAACAAGAACAAGAATAATAGACATGACTATAGGCAGGATGACCGCAACAGCGTGAGCCAATTACTGTGGGCCCGAATTTTAAGTTGCAAGACTCCCCTTGATGAGTAAAATCATCTAGCGTTAGACAGAGTAAAGATTTATTGTGTCATCTGCCTCTGTTGGAAGATCCTTTTCCTTGAGCATTTTACTAAAGATTTGCTGTGTCATCTGCTGCTGTTGGAAGATCCTTTTCCTTGAGCATTTTACTAAAGATATGTTGTATTTCAAAAAATATGCACTCAGACTTTGAAATTTTAAATTTTTGTGGACCCAGGGGGAGGGACAACTTAACCAAGGCATACAAAAGTTAGATGTACCGGGGGTGCAACATTTTCTCGGGGGGGGGGTGTCCCCCGGCTCTGGCTAGGTTACTGTACAGTATTCCCTAAAGCAATAAAATATTAATATTTCTAACTAATAATTATTACTAATTATTAGTAAATATTTATTATTTATGTTGCTCTAATAGTCAATTAGCCAAGCCGGACTACGCAGATTAAAAGAGTGATTAACAGACTAAACAGTGATGCGACCATAGTTGGGTTTCAATCTGAATCATGTGGCACTTTAGCACTTGGTGGTCAACTTCAAAACTAGGAAACGCAGTTATTGGATTGAGGTCATTAATTAAATTAATTCACCTTGTATTCAACAGCAAATACAGAACATTTAACAAAATTTGCTTGCTTCCACAAGGCAAATAAAGCGACAAACGTGCAAAGTTGACCACCATGTGTTTTCCGATGAATTTGTCACTAATATTATTAAATACCAGGCGGTGTGTGCACTACGGTGCAAAGGCTTCTGGGTAAAAATGTAAAATTCATTCATTTGCATACTGACTCGCGGTGCAGTCTGATGCTGCGAGCGCATAGCCTCTTGTCTGGTTACATTTCGTAATGGGCATCAATACATTGCTGCCATTTTTGAAGGATGTTACCATTAAAGTTAACATTGAATCGCTTAGTGGACAATCAGCAGCAGTCGACGCTTCATGTTGGATACATAGAGCACTTTCTACCAGGTATAAACAAAACAGCAATGATTCCAGGTGAGGTTTTAATTTTATCGTATTAAATATGTTCATTTTGAAAACAGTGGGTTTTCAGATAGTTCCTATATTCATTGTTCTAGATTGCAAGGCATCCTTGAGTTGTATATTGATATCCTGCAACGAAGCGGGATAAAACCTTTCATAGTGTTTGATGGCTTGCCATTGCCGGCTAAAGAAAAAGAATGAGTGAAGAGGACGTGGTACATTAAATTATTGTCATTTTGTATATGATATCAGATGTAAATCTGTAAATCGTGTAAACATGTAAATCAAAGCATTCTCTCACAAATGCACAAACGATGTCATTATTAAAGGAAACGAAACGAAGCGAGGACCAAAGCGGCAGAACACATGCAGAAAGGAGAAACATCGGCAGCAAACAAGTTATTGGGGGAATCTGCACAGATTGCATATGCCATGACAACAACATTTATCAGAGTAAGTTGTGCATTGTTGTTCATTTAGAATTTAGATGCTAGTTTTACAATTCCCATATATGTGAATATATATGCAATTCATCACGACTGGGAAATGTTTTGTTATTCTTTTAGTTATGTCACTACAAAAACATCTACATCGTCGCTCCATACGAGGCTGACCCACAGATTGCATTTCTGACAAGAAATGGACATGCGGATTTGCTATCAGTGAGGATTCAGATTTATTAGCATATGGATGCCAGAAGGTCAGTATTATCGTTATAATTCATATTACTATAATCGAGAGACAAGGCTAGCTGCAAGGCACAGCCTTTTAAAAACTAGGCAAGTTCTCCCTTTTACAACAAAATCTTCATTTATCAATAATAAGTTAGTCAACGCTTCTTGAAATTATTAATCAGTTGTGATCAATACAATTAAAAATTATTAGAGATTTTGTTCTGATTATTACATATCAGTTATTTATTTTACTGATTCCGTATTAGTAATAATGATCTACAATCAATGAAGTTCATTATGTTCAATGATACAATGCAATTTTCTTGACAAAATTATATGCAACACAAAGTATAAGTTGGCAATATATTTTCCATATTAGCTTGAGGCATTAGCTTGAAGTCGAGGCAAACAATGTGTTACATATGTCGTAAAAAAGTAGCTTTCAAAGTCAGCCAACAAATTCTATTCATTTTCACTATTGGGTCATTCCAGAAATCATCCATACCTCTCCCATGCCGGGCCCTACTGGGTATATGGGGAGTGTATATTCATATATTCCTGTTCTGCCTGACAGATTTCTTTGAAAGTGTCTAGCTATGGCCCTGCTCCCACAGAGGAAATTGTAAGTTAACCCCCTACCCCCTTCGGATGTCCTAATACACTTACTATTATTAGAAACAATTTTGTCTCCCCTCCAGATGGCAGAAATTTCCTCTGTGGGGCTTTTCTGGAATGACCATTATGTACAATTATTTTGCTTGCAGGTTTTGTTCAAAATTCAGATGAATGGCATGTTTGATAGCATCGAACTGAAGGAAATCTTTAAACATCTTGCAATGACTAAAGATGATTTTCTTCACATGTGTATAATAGCTGGGTGCGATTATCTCCCCAATATCAAGGCCAGGAAAATTGTCTTGCAGGAGGCCGATGTAGTGAAGGCATTACTAACACTTAAATATGTCCCTGAAGGATATGCAAGTAGTTTTATGCAGGCAAAAGCTGTTTTTCTCCATCAAACAGTGATAGATGTAACAACTTTCACAATCATCCCTTTGGCAGAGTGGGATGTTGGAGAAAAAACAGAAAGTCTTCAAAAGCTATGTGGAAAGTATCCTTGCCCAATATAAAGTCACACAGACAATATATATTGTTTTATTGTTCACTTTGCTCATTATGTTGATAGTACAAGTAATCCTGACACCCCATATTTTATTGACATGTATTTTTAAATGGTTAGTTTGCAGTTGAAGAGTCATTGTAAGAGCCACCAATTTTATCAACATTCTCACAAGTGCATAGAGTAGTGTTCCCCCTCCTAGCTGCCATTAACTGTTTAACTGTAATGATGATTGTGAATTATCCTTAAATCAAACAAGTTTACTATCTAAGGAATATTCTCTGAATCTAGCAATTAGGAATATTAATCCAGAACAAATGGATGCTGTATTGAATACCTTTCAGCTCTCAACACAGGTAAAAATTGTATGACCAAAAGGTAACTTGGATTAGGAAATGTACCAAAGATGTTGCCTATACCGTACATCATTTTTATAACGCTCCAGAAACAAATGAAATAATATAACTTATTCTTAGTCATAGAATGAGTCTAATGGAGATGTGAATGTTACAGTGGCACCCGACAGTGAGCCCAACCTGGGCACCCAAAATAATGGTATGTTTATTTTTATACATTTCTCACTGACTCTTTTTAGCCACTGACACAATGGTTTAAAAGATATAATCATGAGGAACCCAAAATGTGCCCTGCGTTATCATGTTGGGGATTCACGCCTCCAAGGATATGTATCCCACAACAAGTCACAATAAAAGGTTTAAAACAAATATATTTCGCTTAAAAATCACAATGTTGTTGTATATTTCACAATTTTCCTGAATACTTAGAAAACATGCTTAGCTTGCACTTCCAGTAGCGTGGTCGGTGACGTCAGCTACCGGCAATAAAGTCCACCGGGCATATCAATCCCATTTCCGGACACACTCCCCCATGTATATCCACGGAGTGATATGCATTTTACAGTACATCCGTCTGACATACAAGTTCCAACATAATAGCTAATGTTAAATATCAACTCTAGAAAATTTAGTTATTAGTCTCAAACAGTTTGTTTAGTAATCGTTGTATTCTTCTTCCGCCGTTTGTTGAATCCGCACTTCCGCCGCCGCATCTCTTTTTGGTCTTGGTTGAAACATGGGTGCATTTGTGTCAAGTTGAGGTGGTTGTTGCCAATCGCTGGACAGTTCTAGGGGACACAGGTGTTGAAGGGCACGTTCAAGGTTGCCAGTACCAACTCTTAATTTTGCAGCTCTTATGATTCCATCTCTTCCCTTTATCAATTCAGTGACGATGCCTAGTTTCCACGTATTCCGGTTCTTCTTTTCGGTCTTGATGATCACTACGTCTCCGACGCTCGGGTATGGTGTTTGTTTTCCTCCAGCGCAACAATGTTGCTCACAAAGACTTCTTATATACTTTCTTGTCCAACGATTCCATACGGCCTCTTTACATTTCTTAACATGTTTGGCTCGCTTCCGTAAATCTGCTTCGTCAACGTGGTAAGCCTTCAGCTCAGGTAGGTGATTAGGGTTAGTGGTTAACATCGAGTTAGGGGTTAGTAGTGGTAGTTGGACGTCGTCCTCTACGTAACTCAGAGGCCTATTATTAAGAGAGACCTCTACGTCGATCACAACTTCCTTGAACTCCATCCATCTTAATGTGCGATTCCCTACGGTCTTGTAGAAGGCATTCTTGAAAAGGCCAATTAAACGCTCAAGTTGGCCTGCCCACCAAGGAGCACGACTCAAGTTAAATTGCCACTTGATGGAGAGATCAGCCAGGTAATCATTAAGTTGTTCATCTTTCTGCACTTGTCGGAGCCATTTCTTGGTGGCCTTGAATGTCGAACCATTGTCCGAGTATATACGTTTTGGTCTGCCTCGGCGTGCGATAAACCGTTTAAGGCTTATGATGAATTCGGTTGCTTCCAATGACTTCAGTAAATCTAGATACAACGCTCTTGTCAGGCTGCATCCGTACAAGGCCAGATATGCTTTGCTTTCAGTTCCGGGTTTCGATTGGTAGTAAATTGGGCCTGCAAAGTCCACCCCGATTACTTGGAATGGCATAGACCCTTGTGTCCTTGTGCTTGGAAGGTTTCCTGGGGTGGGGATTGGTATGCTTGGGCTCTAAATCCCTTGCAACCCCAGCAGGCACTTCTCACTTTCTTGACCAAGTGATGCAATCTGGGAATCCAATAGACGTCACATGCCATTGTCAGCGAGACACCACTGTGTAATGTCGATAGATGCGCTTGTCGTACAATTCCGTGCGTAAAGGGATGACTATCTGGCAGGTAGATCGGGAACTCTCCTTCACTTCGCCCTCTGCATTCAAATATATCTTCGCTGTTTAGCTGCAGATTCAGTTGGAGCTGGTCTTGTTTGAAGCAGAGTCTTTCTTGGCATTCTAGTTGTGCTTGCTTGGTCCACCAAAGTCTCTGTTGTTCAATCTCGATTGCGTTCAGTGGACCATCTTGCCAGTCTCTAGCTCGGGACCTACAGTTGCTGATAAACCTCTGAATCCATGCACAAATTCGCAGGACTTTGTGCACTTCGTGAGCATCAAGAAGTTGGTCAAAATCATCATGGACTTGTGCTGTTGCAGCAAAGACGCTTCGAGTCACCTTTAACTCCGTGTTGGAATCTGCGTTGGGCTCAAAGATTATGTCTGCTGGCCATTCAGTTTCTTCGCTCAGCCAACTCGGACCTTGGTTCCATAGCTGATGATGATCAACGCTTCCGCCGCGGCTGCCCAAATCTGTGGGGTGGTCGGCATGTGATGCCACTTGACATCCTGATGCTGCTGTATCTTGTGTACCCTGTTTGCAACGAACTGCCGGTACTCCCCCTGCCCACGTATCCAGTATAGTGCCACAGTCGAATCAAGCCAACAATGTGCTGACACTGGGTATAGATCGATGGCCAGTTGAACATTGGTCGCAAGATTGATTGCCATATGGCCAGCCACTAACTCGAGCTGGGGAATGGTTAAATTCCGCTTTGCCAACCGAGATTTCGAGCAGACGAGTCCTTGAGTTGTCCCATTTTCCTGCCGGACGACCGCGTATACTGCCGCGCTAACTCCCCGAGTGCTCGCATCTCCGAATGCGTGCAACACAATTTCTAAGATTGGTTGTTGATATGGTGCCAGAGTTCGCTTAACTTCGATGTAACTTGGCAGTTTGGAGTACCACTCGATCCATTGTTTTTTCAGTTCAGCTGGAAGTTCACTGTCCCACGCTATGTTGATCTCGCACATCTCACGATAGAGAATTTTTCCTTGCAAAGTTGTTGGTGAGATCTTTGTGCAAACCAACTTTGAAGGTGTCTTTATCCTTGTCCCACGCTAGTCCCAAAAGCTTTGTCCCCGGTCGGCTCACTCCTAATTGCTGCTTGGCATAGGTTAACTCATCATCTGCTGGTGGATTACTGCTGGCTTCGAGTTCTCTTGCATTCGAGTGCCATTTGTGAAGCGTGAAGGATGCGTCCTGGAAAACTTCAATGGCTGTGGCTTTCTTTGTTTGCACATCGTCAACTGTTGTACCACCAGCCATGAGGTCGTCCACATACAGGCC